GGGCCCCCCCCCCCCCCCCCCCATCAGCCCTGGGGATGCTCCTGCCAGCCCAGGCGGTGGAAACAAAGCCAAACCTCGCTGGGCTGAGGCTGCAAATGCCTCTGCTCCAGCACAGAGCACTGGGGACGGCGTTATCCCCCCCCCCGCCCACGCTGATCTGTGGATTAATCATGGCCATGAGTAGGAGTTCAACGCCCCCAAGGGACCTGCCAAGGGCTGGAGGCAGCGGCCGGCTCTGTGGTGCCCACGCAGGGGATCTCTCCCGGCCTGGGAGGAGATCACAGAATGGCAAGGGTTGGAAGGGACCTCCAGAGCTCACCCAGTCCCACCCCCCTGCTCAACCAGGGTCACCTAGAGCATGTCACACAGGACAGCGTCCAGGCAGGGGTTGAATATCTCCAGAGAAGGAGACTCCACAGCCCCCCTGGGCAGCCTGGGCCAGGGCTCAGGCACCCTCACAGTCAAGAAGTTCTTCCTCACATTCACCTGGAACCTCTTCTGCTTCAGTTTGTGCCCATTGCCCCTTGTCTTTTGGCACCACTGAGAAGAGTCTGGCTCCATCCTCATGACCCCCACCCTTAAGATATTTGTATGTGTTGGTGAGGTCCCCTCTCAGCCTTCTCTTCTCCAGGCTGAACAAGCCCAGCTCCCTCAGCCTTTCCTTGTAGGGGAGATGCTCCAGTCCCCCCATCATCCTTGTTGCCCTCCTCTGGACTCTCTCCAGGAGTTCCTCATCTTTCTTGAACTGGGAGCCCAGAACTGGACCCAGTGCTCCAGGTGGGGTCTCACCAGGGCAGAGCAGAGGGGGAGGAGAACCTCCCTCGCCCTGCTGGCCACCCCAGGGTGGCCATTGGCCTTCTTGGCAACAAGGGCACCCTGCTGGCTCATGGTCAGCTTGTCATCCACCAGGACTCCCAGGTCCCTCTGGGTAGAGTTGCTTCACAGCAGGTCAGCCCCCAGCCTGGACTGGTGCATGGGGAACCTCTCTGGCTCCAGGTTTGCCAGCTCAGTATCCATCCGTGGTGCAGGCTGGGGGTACCACGCTGCAAATCCTGTCCCTGGGATGGGCTAAAGCCCCCCATGGGCCTCTGCTGCCAAGCCCTGGGTCCTGGTGAGGAAACCTGGGCCAGCAGCATCCCAGACGGCACCCACAG